ATTTGGTAAGGCCAATTGCTTCCCACAGGCTGCAAAAGTTAAAGTTTTTCCCCTAAATTTTCCTACTAGAATTTTTGCCGAACAATTCTCTTTTCTCGTTATATCTATAGTTTTTATAGTTGTGCTATATATAAACATACATCTATTTTTTGTAACTGCAGTATTTTATCAGTCATATATGATCAATACACCTTTTACTAAATTAATCTTTAAAAGCTCTTCTTGGCTGCAATTATACAAATTGTATTAGTTGCAAAATTAAAAAGCAATTATAAACTAATATTTACCAATGTGAGAAATCAAGGTTCATGGGGGAACTCAAATCAAAACCAGAACTGGAGGCAAAAATGGGAAATATCCAAATATTTATTCTTATTTTTTTAACATTAGGTTGTAATCACAGGCAATTCCCTGTCATTTTTAACTTGTGCTAAATATAAAATTCTATACAAATATGAAGATCCAAAAATGAAATTCTAAACATATCCTATTAGTGTATGTAAATTAGTGCTGCTCTTTGCAAAATCAAGCATACTTGTAGATTCTAATGTTACTCCATTAATTCCACTCAGAAATTCTATCTAAATACACAACACAAACAATGAAACTGCTATGAACTCAAAATTAAGAAGTGGTGTTATGTCAATGAAACTTTATATTGGAACACAACTTACCATACACTCAATACTGAACTTAGCTAAATTTGGAGAGAAAAAGATTCTTTGATAAGTATGCTAGTCCTAGTTCAAAACAGGGTTAATACTAAATTTAAAATGTATTTTAGGGTTTTTGGTGCCAATACAATCGTATAATACTTGAGCTCTTTATGCTGTATTTGACAACTCAAAAATGATTTTTCCATTTGAAAGGCAGGAGTGAACTAAAGATAGGAGGTTAGATGAACCATTAGCTCAAAGTTGAGTTATTTTGAACATATTAAATCTAAAGAAATATTAGCATTCGAAGAAGCAGGTCAAAGGTTACCTATGATATATTACGTAGAAGAGAAAGCAAATTACAAACTGATTCATAAAAAGCTGGTATCTTTTTAAAAAACCAGCAAACTCTCTGAAGTTGAATCTCACATTAAGGTTACCCATCTTAGGGGATCAGAAGCTAAGCAGACAGGGCCCAGCATTACTTAAACTGAAAACTCTGGGATGTACCATCATTGTTAATATGAGTAAGTTAACAGCTGCGTGACCGTTCGTCTTGAGGGTGGGTTTCGTGGTAATCCATGTTGCCCCCTGCAAACACTGTGCTTGCTACCCTCTAGGTAGGTGGAGTTGTTCTGAGGTACGATAATAAACTGGAGAGCAAAGAGATGCAAATAAGAAGTGTCACCCTGTGACTTCCCAATTCACACTAATTTCTCCTTCCAAGTAGCAGAGACTGCGTGTGAAAGCTGAACTTGGAAATATTGTAGGAGCTGTTTAAATGGCCAAGAGCCTATTGGGTGGCCAAGATCCTCAAAGATTTCAGGCTGAAGGGCCAGAAGCTCTATATTTTTGTGTTTTGTTTTTTAGCTGAGCCATCCTGCCGCCTGTTGGCAGCTCAGCTCGGGCTGGGCATCGAACCGCTGCTACTCAGACCTTGCACTCTTGAGTGAGCTCTTAACCAACTGAGCCACTTGGCCGGCCCAGAAGCTCTACATTTTTAATTGGGCAGGTTACTGGGGAAAAGCAGTGATGTCATTAAGCACCCGGGGCACAAAACTACGAGTTTTTTAAGTCATGTAGCAACTGATGTGTAATAGCAAATAGAATATAAAGCTCTTGTTCAAATTTTGAAAATGATTCTCAGTTTTTCTTGACCTGGTCTGAAGTTTCAGGGGTTTTCATAAACACCTGTTTTTATGCATGAACTTGTCCATTCAAACCCTTAGCAGGTATCTAACCACTAAACCACATTAGACTATTTACACAAATAGATCATTTTTAGTTTCTGGGCTTGGTAATAACACCTACGAATGTTCTTTTAAAACTTTTTCAAGAGGAATGAGGTACAGCTAGGTGGTGTGGAAGCGGTGGGTCTCCAAGTGCCCTAATTAAACTTCTGGGCACTCTCCCCATTTCCACTGTGAAAAGACTGAAGGATTAGCGGAACAGGAAAGTCAGTATCCTGCTTGCGTAAGGAGTCGAACACATTAGCTTAGTCGGTGGTGTTTTCCCTCAATGGGCTCTCTCACCAACAGCTCTTCACTTCAGAAACTGAACTTGATTAAACATTAGGGAAGCAGAGACTCATAACAGAGAAACTAGTTTCCTCATCTGAAGAATGAAATGATTGATCTAGATGACCTTTAATGTCCCTGACAACTCTGAGTCTGGAAAAGAAAAATAATATTCTCCATAAAAAATGTATGTATCTTACAAGAAAATGTTGCACTTAAAAAAAAAATCACCCTTATAAGCAAACTAAAAGGACAACTGACAAACTGAGGAAAAATGTATGTAAACTATATCACAGAAAAAAGGTTCATATTCCTAAGATATAGACTACTTAGGACCTATTTCTAGTGGGCTAGAAATATGGTCTTAACTCTATGAAAAGATGTTTGTTCTACCACGTGCTTAGTAAGAAGAATGGAAATTACAGCTAGGCCAAGATTCCAACGTCGACCTCAAAAATGAGCAAAAATCTAAACAACATATCCTACTGGGGAGGCTGTGGGAGAACCAGCACTGTCACACATTACTGGTGGAATTGCAAAATGATACACCACCTATGGAGGAGAATTTAATGATATACAACAAAATTACATATGCATTTATTTATCTTTGACCCATGAATCCCAGTTCTAAGAATTTCTCTCAAAGACATTCAGGCAAAAATACATACACAACAAAAATTATTTGCTACAGAAGTATTTGCACTGGCAGAAGAGAGGAAATAACACAGATGACCATCAATAAAGAAAGGCTGAAAAAGCAATGGTACAGTCATACAATGGAGTACTATGCAGCTGTGGAAAGAAATGTGAACCACCTTTACATAATGTTATGCAGTGATTTCCAAGATAAACTTTACATAAAAAGAAGTAAAATAAAGTATGTATACTACAATGATATTTATCTAAGAAATTGAAAGGGGATATGAATGAATATCTATTTTTTAAAAATAGGATAAATCTAAAAAAAAATTTTTTTAAAGAGTTTATAGAAGGTGAAACCCAGGGTGGGTAGGTCGGTAACAGCACCCAGGCTTCTCTGAGTGTTCCCTGTGTTATAAATCTGACCTGGGTAATATGCAATGTATGCTGGAGCTGGCTTGTACTGTTCCTTGGTAAATGTTCAGGTTTACCTTTGAGAGTCAGCTGTCTTTACCTTGGTAGCTCAAAATTGGCCATGGTGGGAGTATTTGCATCAGGAACATCAGCAAACACATCTCCCCATCCCCAAGCCAGTTAAACATTTATCAGCACACCAACAGGAGCAGTAAATTGAGTGGGTAGCATTACTACACTGAAATGAGCCATTTCAAGTGACTTGAAAGCATGGTAATTTGACTATATGGCTCTAGTGGTAATACCCAAAGAATTGCAAAAAGGATCCTAAACTGCTTTCAATATCGTGGTGTGAACTGTGGTATTGTTATTCTGAGAAATTGTGAGTACTATGGAATAAAGCAAATGAATAACTACGTTACTGTCATGATAACTAGGATTTTTAGCATGGGACTAAAGAGCTACAGATACAAGTTTGAGGTCATTACGTACAAACCCAGTGGTTCTGAATGTGAACTAGATGCATCAGTATGAAGTTACGATGTCTTTCATATTGAATTAACATAACATGAATGAATTTCCTAGCTCTGTCCACAATAGCCAAAACCCCGTAAGACTCAGACACATAGTTTGTGGTCTCTAATTTCTATTTCCCACAAATGGAACCAAGACTCCTGAATTACAGATCTGGGCCAGAGAAAGTACAAAATACTAGAAGAAGCTATAAAAGACTACTGAAATCATGTCAAAAGGATTCAGGAGCCAACAATAAGCATCTGCTGACCAACGATGGGGAAAACTGTGAGCAATAATAAGAATAATAGCTGCCATGGATTGAAATACATAAAACATGTTTAAATCCATGAGTTTATAACGATACTCAAACACCTCACCGGGCCATCTCTGGAGGATGCTAGGAAACAAATTTATTGTTTTAAACATTGGTAAAGGCATTTATCCTGCTTTTTCTATACTAACTGTACTTCGGGCAACTAAATAGTTAATGAAGGAGAGTTTTTCTTTATAGAAATATTCTAGCTAATAAACAAAGGGGAAATGATAGAATCAATGTCTAGGTAATGCTTAATGCCTTGTAATATCACAAAAAAAAAAGAGACAAGCAACAAGGAAGGGCCTCCTGATGGAAATAACCACACTACTGTCTATAAAGAGAGAGAGAGAGAGAGAGAGAGAGAGAGAGAGAGAGAGAGAGAGGCTCAAACCTGAATCATTTCAAACCTCTAGATCTAACTACCAATTTATAGGAACTATAAGGTACAGAGAAGCATTTTAAGTGAAAAAAAAAATTGTAGGAAATTGTACAGGATGACTCAGTTTTTCTACAAATAAACTGCAAAGGGAAAAAAAAGACATGAAAAGGAAACCTACATTATTAACAGAGACTTATCAATTAAGGCTAATCATGAACCTAATTTGAACAAACAATAACTCAATCAATAAAAATATATATGATTATGTATTTTTTAAGTGTGTATGTACAGATGCACACTATATATGTATGTGTATAACCATATATATGTGTGTAACTATACGAATAAATGTAACTATGTAACTATGTATTTGTGTGTAACTATACAGTATGTGTAACTGTAACTATATGTATTTGTGTAACTATATGTAACATATACCTATATGTTTATATATGTATACTTACATATATATGAATATGTGGGTGTGCACACATATGATAACTGGGAAAATCTGAACATGGACTAAAGATTTTGATAATATTAAGAAATAGTTCATTTCTTAGGTATGATGAAGATACTGTTTTAAAGAAAAAGGACTCCTTTATCTTCTGGAGAAATACGCTGAAATATTCACAGGTGAACAGGTACAATATACAAGATTCATTCAAAATATTGGGAGGGTGTGAATGGAAGAAGGACAGACTAGCAATGATTTCAGATTATTTTGAGTTGGGTGATGGGTACATAGGCATTCATTGTGAACTATTCTCTGTACTTCTGTATAAGAGAAATTTTCTACAATACAGTTAGAAACCATATGAACAAAAACTACCAAAAATTATGTAGCTAATATTAACAAGCTGGTAACAGAATACTGATATCAGACTTCCGCAGTCCAACTTAGGAATTCATCACAATCACCTGAAAAGGTTTTCAAAACATAGTTCCTGAACCTCCACCACCTTAATGAACCTCCAGGATCGAAGGAATCTGTCATATCCCTCAGGACTGTGGGAGTGGGGAAAAGGTTGAGAACTACTGTTTAAACACCATAAGGGTGGGGCTCTGCACGGTTTCCCTAGTTTTTATCTCCATGCCTGACACATAAGAGATACTCAAGTAGTATCTAGTGCATGAATGAATGACCCTGGGAAGTGAAAGTGAAGGTGAGTTTAACAGCAGTACATGTTAGATGTTCAAAAAACACTATTCATATTTGATATTAAAAAAATCACTTAGGTTACTGAGTTGAAAGAGCATGGCTCTCTGTTTTAAGTGGAATGGGTTTTCATCATAAAGCCACAGACTAGTCACTTCAAACAGCTACAAGTAAACTCCCAGAATAAAAATAGTTTTAAATACACAATTGGGTGGGGTGTGGCTAGCAAATATTCTGATTCTACAATCTGTTTTGGACAAGACAGTGCTTCTTATGTGACTAACAAAGCAAACAGCAGTCGAATTTGGTGTGCTGAAATAACACTATTTGCAAAAAGGGTTGAACGTCCAAGGCTTATTCAATAAAGATACCACATTTTCCAAAGTTAAAGGGGATATAGAATGACAAAAGCCCACATATATTTACATGTCCCCAAAAAGAAGGCATATGACCATCTGGCATGGTTTAGTCTCTAACGAGTACTAAATAGAGCCAAGCCTAGTGTCTGAATATGGGAAACAACAGAATACCTCAAACACATGAATAATCTAATTTTAAAGTTGGGAGGAGCTTAAAAACCCAATACAACCTTTTCATTGTGTTGATTAAAAAAAACCCAGACACCTAACCGGTTAAGGTGAAAACCTCTGAAAATAGCTGGAAGAGCCACCGATGAACACTCTATGAGGTGTACAATGCTAGGTTATGACAAGCTGAGAATTCATTTTCTCAGCTTTCATGAATGATATCTAAAGGGTATCAGTCTCAATTATAAACAAATAAGTGTGTGTAACCGTATATACACATGAAAATACTAGAATATGTTCTTCCAATAATTCCTTTCAAAACAAAATCACCAGCTTAGCACTCAAGAGCTTCCCCACCTCCTTTTCCAATGTTACCCCACCCACTTTTCCAAAATCTTGTCCAAAAGAACCCTAAGCAGTTGGAAGCCAGCCATTTTCTCTCACTTATCTTTTGTGGTCTCTTACCGACATAGTGGAGTACATATCATCATTACAAAAGCTATTCCATAGGTAATTTCCACATGATGGAAGAATGATTAGAATACGAACTTTCCAATTCTGTTAACCTGAAGTGATACATAAGCCACATTTCATGTGTATCTATGAGTATTAAAAAGAGACATATGTGATAATGTAGATTTTCAATATGACAACCAATAAAAGGTTTAAAAGTGAGAGTTAAGAGAAAAGGAGGCAGTGAGATGAGTTATCCATTTACACTTCTACAAGGTACCACTCAAGGCTTTGTTTAAAAGACACACACAAAATTGTATGCAGGGAAGAAAAAAGAAAAAGAATAAACCTTTATTTTGTTCACTGGTCAAATATTCAATCATTTCAATTACTGATCAATCTTTACCATTTTAATTCTTACCATTAAAAAAAAAAAGTATCTATGCCTGTGTATGAAATGCTCCTTCTCATCTACTTCACCTATATAGTTTATTTGCTTTAGCTCCAAAATGATGAGACTAAATAAGATACAAAATTTGGCCTCTCAACTTTCTACCTTTTTTTAGATTCTTTAGGATCCTGAAAACTGATTTTAAGAGTCTCCTAACATTGTTAAAGAGAAAACTAACCACTGAAAATGACAATGATAATATTTACTTTCATCTTTGGGGAAAAAAAAAAGTTCCTAGTTGGGCTGATTCAAGATCACTGAAGGGAATTACAAGGTAAACCAATGATGTTTTTAAAAAGCTGAAAGCAAAGTTTGAAGAATTTTTTTTTCTCTGAAGTGAACACAGCAACCTCATTTAAATAGACACAATATGACATTATCAAGTTAAGGGTTTTTGCAATCTCTCCTGCAACTCTAAAGTAAAAGCCAAAATTAAGCTATGAAATCTGAAGTCATTTACTGAACATAGTATAGAGTTGTGAATGAACTCAGTTCTTCCACGTAATTATATTGTTAATTCCACTATCAACTTCATGGATGTCTTGCCTCTGTCTCAAAAACTGAAAATATTTAATATGAAAAAAACTGAAATATTCACATTATCATATTTAATGTTTCTTATTAACTTCTGAGGACTTACACTCAAATCTGAAATAAAAAAAACAGCATACCTACACTTTCACCACTGAATTTCTCTCCAGCCTAAAAATAAGTAAGCTATTTTCATAAAAATTTAGGAACGCTAGTTTACACATTGATGGCTTTATGTAATAATTGAAAATTGAGATGCTGGTTTAAATTCACCCTCCCCCCCCCTCCAAATGACTTCTTCCCCTACTTTTATACACTACCAAATATTTTTAACCAAATAACACAAGAATGTGCTTTTCAAAAACATAAAGGGGGTAGTATCATCCCATCATGAACCAACCGAAACATCTGAGTAATAACTTCTAAAATAAAATTACAGAAAAAGATGGTGCATGGTTAAAACTATTAATATATATTTAAGACAAAGAGTTTATTTTTCAATAAGAAAACAAGGAAAAAGACAGCTCAACCTGATCTGGTATGTCTGCCCAAAAGAACTTTCCACCATAATTAGTGTTTTCCACTTCTGGGGGAGGAGCTTAACCTCATGTAGTAAGAGGAAAACAGTATAAAGACTGCAGGACAGCTCTGGAGAGAGCATCTTCTGCACTGCTCACCTGGGCACAGGAGGGCTCAGGGCTGCCATCTCCAGGACTCCGGGCACTCAGGTAAGTCTATGGCTCGATACCCACAGGGGAAGCTCCACGTTAGCTTGCTTAGAAATAAGCTTCAATAAATTAACTACTTGAATTTTTGTGATTTAAACAAAATGGCTTTCTACTAGAATGTACTCAGAAAGTTTATTTTGCACTAGTCTCCATAAAAGATAGCCCCCCAAAAAAACAGATTTGGAAAAACATGCCCTAATCTGAATTTTAAACTATTGGATATTTTTTTTTGTCTATGTCAAAGATCTTGAATTATTTAATATAGACAGCCAATTACAATTTCTGTTTCTTTTTAAAATCACTTTAGTTTTAACTGATTGCTTGAATGTGGTGTCTAAAAACAACTAAGATATATATTCACATACCTAAAATAATTATGTCATTACTTTATGGAATATATTTGAAATATGTAGGATAAGGTAAAAAAAAATAGATAACTATATAAGGAATTAATTTGTGTAATATTAGAAAAGTATAACAGGTCAATAACAAAGTTTTATGAAATTACTTTCTGTTTTTCAGAATCCATCCGAGAACATGCTGCCACAAATAGCCCTTTTGCTGCTAATGTCCTTGAACTTGGTTCATGGAGGGTTTTATGCTGAGAGATACCAAACACCTACAGGCATAAAAGGCCCATCACCCAACACCAAGACACAGTTCTTCATTCCCTATGCCATAAAGAGTAAAGGTAAACTGAACTGTATATTTTCCTCAGTTAACTAGTAGGTTGCTGCTTTCTACAATCCTAATGATTTCTTCAACAAAATGCTTTTAACCATTTGGTTTTAAATTATTTTCAAACTGCAAAAGTAGCCCAAAATGATTTGTGGAAAAAGCAGGTCTATTTGAGAACATTAATATCCTTGACACAATCAGTATAGTAGAAAGATATACCTGAAGAATATGGAAAACTTTTATGCATGGATATTTTTTTCCTCAAATGATGCTTTTGCATAAATAACTACTCATAATCTAGAAATATTAATCCAATTAAAATTAGTCATATTCAAGATGTTTGAACTAAAAGTAATTTCCAACTGTACAAAAAGAATAGCAAATTTATATGTCTAAATATTTAAACATATTTACTTTTAAAACCTACTCTTCTAGCACACAGAAATATACAAAATTGAGTCTGAAAGAGCAAATAAAATATGATGCCCTCTGAAGAAATTTAATAGGTAAATGAAGTAGCAATTCTCATAACTTTTTAGACATTTTCGGATAGCTTAATAGTTAAGTGTACACACTATGTGGCCTCGAATAAGTTATTTATCCTCTCTGTGCCTTAGTTTCCGTTTTTGTAAAATGAGGAATAGGTAGCTCAAAGGGCTGTTAATGAAGTGTAATTGAGTTAACAGCTATAAAGTGCTTAAGTATTAGCTATTATTACTACTACTACTACTGCTGCTGCTACTATTCTACCTCTTCTACTATAGTAATTCTATTACTTCTACTTCTATTATTTCTATTATTCTTGCTCCCTTCCCCACCCCTCTCCTCCTGTCCTAGCACTAGTGGTGTAGCCTTAGGTGAGTTTTAACTTTCTTCCTGAGTCTACTCATCCTCTGTTCAGCTTTCTTGGCTCCTGTTAAGGGTACTGAGACAATGTATGTAAAGTGTTAACAGATACTCAAAGAGGGCTCATAGTCACTTAATCTGTTTAATAACATCTAACTCAAACTACCTGTCAAGCATCTACTAAATCAATGAATAATCTGAACTAATGGTAGGATTCAAATTTCCTTCCCAGAGTATTTTCTCATTATAGTTATGTATTTTATCCTGCAAATAAAGTTAGGAATAGTTGCCATTAACTTTAAAAATTATGCTTTGGAGACAACCATTTTGAGCAAGTTAAACTTACAGGATTGTCTCTTTTAAGCAGAAAGTTGAAATTTAAAATATTTCATGAACCGTAGCTTAATGTTTAAAACTGAATGCACAGCTGCATAACAGATACTCCTGAATGTCTCAAAATACAAATAAGAGAAAGAGATACATTAGGAAAGAAAGAATAAAAATTAAGGAAACCTGCTACTTGAAGCCACAAATGGCAATTTGAAATGCTATGAAAAGCAGCCCTGGGTTACACTCTCTATAATCACAAATTCAGACTTTGTATAGTTTACCAAGATCTTAAGAAGAAGTCTTAAATTAAAAACAAAATGCATCACTTTTAGAAGGTTAAAAATATTTCTATCTTTTCGTCTTAATGCTCTGCATTGTCTTGTCTATTTTTGCAGAATAAATAAAAAAATATCTTGTTAAATGAAAAGTTTAGAATCTGTATGTTAATTATTATGTCCACCTTAGTCTCTACTTCATAATTCAAGATGGAAGCTCAAATACATTATCACTCATGGGCAGGCATGAATGCAATGAACAAAGACAGAAGTCAACAATTTATACAAGTAAAACATTAAGTTGATAACAGAAATACAAAGATTGCCTATGTAACTCCTAGGCACATCTGTTCAACACCGGGTAAAAGAGAGGTCAGCCAAAACACGGAAATGATGCTGTCTAGGGCTCCACAGCTGTGGGAGTGCGGGTACCCCATTCTGATACAACCAACCACTAGTATTTCAGTGTGTGGGCATATAAGAAACTTTTCTACTCTACGGGATAATCATTTTTCCGTGAGGATGGTATCACCCAAATTTTGAATTTGTTCAGAAGGCTAGCTACAAAGAGGGACTGTCCCCATGGACACAATGAAGTCACATTGTTTCTTGCACTGAGAGGTGCAGGATGCATTAGGGTATATCACTGCATCAAGGATCAATCTGTCCTTGGAGCTCAAGTCTCAAATGGTGTCTGATGCAGTTATTTGCAATAAGACTTGTTTTTTTCCTCTCTAACAGTTTAAAAGATTTTCAAAAAGACTAAGAATTATTTTCAGTATGTACATGACCTTTATGAGATGCTAAAGCAAACCCCAATTTAACATAGTTTGCATTTTAAAAAATGCGCTTTATTCCAAACCATTAAGAAATCCTTCATTTATTAATCTACTCTATTTGCAATGTGCTGATACCCATTTATATAGAGATATTATATACATACACTATAGTCAATCGTAAGATTTGTATTAATATATTGCAATCTTTTCCATAAATAAATTTTTCTCATAGTCTCTTTCCTGACAATCCTTTTCTGAAAATTGATGGGTAGATAAAGCTCCATACATTTAAATGTTTGCAAAATGACATGTAACTCTAATTAGCACACAACAGAAAGACACCCAGGTCTAAAATAACTTACCTGTTTCAGCGTATCTTTTTTAATGAGTGTTTTTCTGTACTGCATATTCCATTTGTAACCAAATGTTTTTCAAATATCAGGAATATCTCTACCCAAGAGAATAATATTAGCAACTACTGTTGGCTGACTACTTCTTACATGCCAGTTAATTAATATGAAGGATTTGAAAAATATAATAATGTACCAGCAACTAATAAAGGGAATGATACTCATAAAATTATGTTTTCAAAGGCAATTTATAATTCAATTTATAATTTCAATTCATTTAGTGTTAATTGCAGTGTAGTCTTCATTTTGATTTTTAAAGCCATTAAAGATTTAGTTAAATAGAGTTTAAACATATTATTCATTTTGTACAAAAAAGACATGGCTCAAAAGTCATAGCTGTAAGTCATTTTCAGGGTTTTGACCAAACTGTTCAACTACTGTGACATCTACTAAATCTACCATTATTATGAACCATTTTCTAATAGTATAAGAATCTAAATAATATATGCAGGCATTCTACTTATGTTTCTGAAAATTAAACAGAAAATTAGTTGAATGTCAATATGCAACCAGATACTTAAAATCATATGTACTTTTATTATCATCTTTGCTAGCTATTAAAGAATTTCTCTGAGAAAGAATGTTTTATGTAGATGCTTATGATGATTACCAGCCAAAGATTCTTTGACAGGGTCATACACCCCTAATGGTATATCCTAATGCCAGCAATGCTCTGTTATATCCTACCTTTGAATAACAACAGAAACAGCCCTTGGATACCTCTTAAAGCACTTATCACATGCACACGTCTTACTCCCTTTGTGACTGAAGCTATTATAGGATATGCTTTGTGCTTGCCCACACTTGTGGTCCAGTAGCACTTTTCTCATCACAAGTACTGAATAAGTGATTTTTGAGTTTATTATATTAGAAGTAGTTAGCTCAAATGAACCCAGAGCTCTAAGAAATCAACAATATTTATTTGCATTTATCAAGAAAAACTTGAGATAAGCAATTTAATACTATTTTATTTACCTCTCCCACTAGGTCTAATTCTCTAATTCTTTGTTTCAATTTTAAGTCAATAATGGACAATGTAAGAGCTGAGGTTGAGACAAAAAAAAAAAAAGAATCAACCTAAATCCAAACTGTGTTCAGCAGGGCGATGGCTGATGTAAATTAGAATGAAGGGCATTTCTCGTTTATGTCCTTCTTTAAAAATTTAATTTAATTTTATGATTAGTTTCAGATGTTCATTTATGTCTTATAAAATAGCTTTTGTGAGGGAAACTTGTTATTGTTCTCAAATATTTTCCCATTTATTCTGCACTTGTCTTCTTCCTTTTCGGGATACCTTTTTCTTTTCTTTCCTTTCTAGGTAGATGATTTTCTCCAAAAACAATGTAATAAATTTGCCTCTACTGCAATCTTATTCTAGATGAATTCTTCAATCCCAGCTTATTTTCATAGATCATCAGGTTGTAATGAAAGTATTATGGTAGCCACCGTCTTGTGAACCATTTTCTCTAGCAGTGTTTTTTAAAAACAATATAAAATGTATTGTCTGAAACCATTTAAGTAAGACTAGTCTGTGAAAGTGGATACCCTGCAATGTTCTGTCCTGATTCCTATTTTGAGAAGCAATGACTACCCCTAACGTTACCAACCATTCCCCTCCCTGGGTGTGGGTATTGGGCATGTCTTTTAGGTATATCAGTAAGAGGAGAGCAAGGTGTTCCCGGTCCACCAGGCCCCACTGGACCTCGAGGGCACCCAGGTCCATCTGGACCACCAGGAAAACCGGGCTACGGAAGTCCTGGACCCCAAGGAGAACCAGGGCTGCCAGGACCACCGGGACCATCAGGCACTGGGAAGCCAGGTTTGCCAGGACTGCCAGGAAAACCAGGGGAGAGAGGACCATATGGACCAAAAGGAGATATTGGACCAGCTGGTTTACCAGGACCACGGGGCCCACCAGGACCACCTGGAATCCCTGGCCCAGCTGGACTTTCTGTTTCAGGAAAACCTGGACAACAGGGAGCCCCGGGAGCCCCAGGACCCAGGGGCTTTCCTGGAGAAAAGGGTGCACCAGGAGTCCCTGGTGTAAATGGACAGAAAGGGGTAAACGGATATGGTACGCCTGGCCGTCCAGGAGAGAGGGGTCTTCCAGGCCCTCAGGGTCCCATGGGGCCACCTGGGCCTCCTGGAGTGGGAAAAAGAGGTGAAAATGGATTTCCAGGACAGCCAGGCATCAAAGGTGACCGGGGCTTTCCAGGAGAAAGAGGACCGAGCGGCCCACCAGGCCCCCAAGGTCCTCCTGGGGGGCGAGGACCAGAAGGCGTTGGAAAGCCAGGAGCCGCTGGAGCCCCAGGTCAGCCAGGGATTCCAGGGCCCAAAGGTCACCCTGGGGCTCCAGGAATAGCTGGGCCCCCAGGGGCCCCTGGTTTTGGGAAACCAGGCTTGCCAGGCCTGAAGGGACAAAGAGGACCTGCCGGCCTTCCAGGAGGTCCGGGTGCCAAAGGGGAGCAAGGCCCAGCAGGTCATCCTGGGGAGCCGGGTCTGACCGGACCCCCCGGAAATATGGGACCCCAAGGACCAAAGGGCATCCCAGGAAGCCCTGGGATCCCAGGCACTAAAGGCGCGACAGGGCCAGTCGGGCCCGCAGGACACCCTGGGGTTAAGGGAGAAAGTGGTGCCTCTGGTTTAGATGGAAAACCAGGGTACCCAGGAAAACCAGGTCTCAGTGGTCCTAAGGGTCACCCAGGGTTACCAGGCCCAAAAGGTGAGCCTGGAGTAGGGGGACCTCCTGGTCTCCCAGGTCCTGCAGGCCCAGCAGGAGCTAAGGGATTACCTGGACACAATGGTGAGACTGGTCCAAGAGGTGCTCCTGGAATACCAGGTACCAGAGGCCCTGTTGGGCCACCAGGCATTCCAGGGTTCCCTGGATCTAAGGGGGATCCAGGAACTCCAGGTCATCCCGGTCCAGCTGGCATAGCAACTAAGGGCCTCAACGGACCCACTGGGCCGCCAGGGCCTCCAGGTCCGAGAGGCCACACTGGAGAGCCTGGCCTCCCAGGGCCCCCGGGGCCCCCAGGCCCCCCAGGCCAAGTGGCCCTTCCTGACGGCTCTATAAAAGCAGGCCAAAGGCCCAGTCTTTCTGGGATGCCTCTGGTTAGTGCCAACCAGGGTGTAACAGGAATGCCTGTATCTGCTTTCACTGTTATTCTCTCCAAAGCTTATCCAGCGATAGGTACTCCCATCCCATTTGATAAGATTTTGTATAACAAGCAACAGCATTATGACCCAAGGACTGGAATCTTTACTTGCAAGATACCAGGAATATACTATTTCTCCTACCATGTGCACGTGAAAGGGACCCACATGTGGGTAGGTCTGTATAAGAACGGCACCCCCATAATGTACACCTATGATGAATACACCAAGGGCTACCTGGATCAGGCTTCAGGGAGCGCCATAATCGACCTCGCAGAAAATGACCAGGTGTGGCTCCAGCTGCCCAACGCCGAGTCGAACGGCCTGTATTCCTCTGAGTATGTCCACTCCTCTTTCTCAGGATTCTTAGTGGCTCCAATGTGAGCAGACTGCCACCAAGCTAATATAAATCTGCATCCCCCAGATTCGGTGTTCCCCGACTTCACCCCATCCCACAAAATGCATATGGAGGTAGGCTGAAAAATAGCATGACTCATTTTAATTTTCCAAAATACAGATTTGAGCTTTTGGACCAATGAATTTCCCACCCTGAAAAAAGTGAGCAGCAGTGGTAAACAATATGTGAAGACCCTCTCAAATTTCTAGTGAGCAATCCTAAGACTCTCAAGTTTTCAGTGAAGTCCTTCAGTTTTTACAAATTTCACCATAAAACTCCTGCTAAGCTAAAATGTAAAACGATTGCGAAATCTCCGCCCCCCCTCCCCATCTTGGGTGCTAAATTATGTTGTATTTGATTTCAGAAACTCAGCATTTCCTTTTAAAATAAGCCTGTTTCAAACAATTAACAGGAGAACTTCTAGGAAACATTCAGGAGGTATTGTATTTGTATGGAACTTAAATACTTGAATATTCAAATTTAAAAGACACTGTATACCATAGGATCTTTCTGATGGTGCATTACTCAAAGGCTCATACAGCTCCTTGCAATAAGATCTATTCAAATACAGAGGTGCATAGAGACTTTTTACAACTCTCATAAAAATCCCAAAATGTTATGTTGAAATGAACCAGAAATGCAAGGTGCTTACTCCCTTCTCAAACTTTTTTTGCCGAAAAGCTTCCTATATACCTGTCACAACTTGGAAGCAGGTGTCTGACCTATTGTATTTATTTAACACAAGCGTGATTAATTTGATTTCTTTAATTCCTTTATCGAGTTTTATGTAATACGATTTTGTGGGTTTACAGAACATTAGTAGGTGCCTTATGCTTCCCATTCCAGTGAAATTATAACTAATGTCAAGGATTTCAAAATCTGACTAGAAATGAAAAGACATTATTTATTTATGCTCTGTACTGTATTTTTATATTGCTGTTTAAAACTTTTAAGCTGTGCTTCACTTATTAAAGCACAAAATGTTTTACCTACTCCTTATTTACAATGCAATAAAATAACATCAATGGATTTTTATGTGGAATTTATTTGACAGCAGCAATTTGCATTTGTCAACCATTCTTTTCAGGCTTTTCATTTTAGAATGCTAATACAAAGTAAAACAATAAAATGGTGGGTGACTTTACAGCTGTCGTGGATATGCCTATCTTTTGGAGACAGGCATTCCCATCCACCCAAGCACTTAGTGGAGACTGTGAAAAGGCACCCTAGAACCACATGTGACCCATGAGCCAGGGTGAAGGGCTGGTGGCTGGGCACAGAAATGTGAGATAATCACCGCACCACCATGCTATCCCTCTGGGAGGGAGAGAAGCAGGTGACAGGGAAATATGCAGTTTGAATAAATATTCTGCAGTCCCTATTTGTTGACTTGACATGTTTTTAGTCATAATATTTAGGATTATTTTAATGGCTTAAATTACATTAAAAGGCAGGCAGGCAGGCAATTTTTATGCCAATCAAAAGACAACATTTTTCTATGCTGGAAACTACTGCTCTTTAGGCCTCCGTCAGCCCATTGGTTGAAGCAGGAAGAACAGTCTGGTTGAAGTCACAGGGGTCACTTACTATAAAGGCATTTCTTTATACCTTAGAAGTCATCTGCGTAACCCAAGCAAACCTGTGAGCAGAACCATGAAACCCTAGGCTCAGGCTGGTGACATCTCTGCTCTCATTCTGGGTCAGCCAGCCCTGTTTTTTAAGCTACGAGAATGGAATTTTCACTTTTCCCAATTGTCTATAACTACTACACTAATGGTGACAGGTGCCGCCAACCATCATTCCCAAACCAAGAAACAGCAAAACTTGAACTTCAATTCTGGGGAACAGACAGAACAACCCTATTGGCAGGTATGCAAAAGACACCATAGCTTAGACTATGGGCAACTGTAGCCATAAAACACATAAACCAAAGAACCTCTTATAATGTAAATGGTACCAACTATATAGTGATATGTAACATCAAATTAAATCCTAATTAAGGAACATGAACTACTTCGAAGTAATTCACTGGATACACAGCATTTAACAAACATCTATGAGAAAGTCTCTGTTCACATTACTCACCCTTAAAAGCTGACATTCTATAATTGTGTTGTATACCAGCAACTATATCCTTCCAAAAATCAAATGCTTTCTGACCATTGTTCTGCTAAAAAACAAAACCAAACAAAAAAATTCCAACTGTAATACATGCAAAAATTCTGTTTTTAAGCATAGTAGGAAATGCTTGGCAAACAACTACAATATTGCTGTATTCTAAAATAGGGTCTCATGTTTTCGAATAAATAACAGGTTAAGAAGCTTCTCATCCTTCTAAACGTGATTTTAGAAAGAGAAACCTTCCATGAAAATCTCGCTACAATGATATATAACATATGACTAAATATTACCATAGCTTTCATAGTCCACATAAGATAAAAAATTCCAATCATTATAAAGTATAAAAATTACAGGATATTTTAAAAACATAAGTAAATTTATAATGTTATAGCCTCTGAGATATCAGAATGTGTTACTTTGTATGTACCATAGCATCAACGGGGCTAAGAAGCCTAAAACCTTAAAACCCTAAAAGCTGGTTCCTTGAGAAATCAGTGCACATTTACTTGAATTTCAATATAAAATAGCACCAAGTCTCTACAGGAGACATCCAGGAGGTTCCAAATCCAGAATTTAAATCACTTTTATTAAGATGTTTTTTAAACCAGAAAGAAAATAAATATTACATTAAAACACACAGATATTTGTATCTAATTCTACTACTAGATATTTGTATCTAATTATACGAACTGAAATATTTAAAGACTGACACATTTGCCTGTGATATTATGAAATGAGATACTGACTTTATCTCATGTTAATAACAACTTCTACAAACACACCAGAATTATTGCTCCACAGAAACTTTCACCAACACACGACTGTAATTCAGATTAAAAAATAAACAATTAGCTATGTTCCATTATAAATATAATCACTGTTATTTTAAAAGACAACACATGCAAAAAGGTAAGGGATTCTAACATAAAATGGGTTTATGTTCATAGGTCTTAAGTTCTGAGAGTAAATTGATATAACCAGAAATCTATTTAATTTTGGTGCATAGAACAAAGTCTATATGCATTCAACTATGCTCAAAGTGATGAATTTAAAAGTTTCATTGCATTTCCCTGGTTTTATTTCATTTAGACTGCTTAAGGACATGTGGATTTTCTTAATTACCTTTATTTTTTTTATTTTGTTAACGAAAGCAGGAAAATATTTTTTCCAGATGCCAGTTCATTTTTTTTTTTCTAGACTTTTGCACCCCCTGCTGGAAAATAGATTTATTATCCCTGGGGAAAAGAAAGGTCACAGCTATTTAATTTTCCAAAAACATTTTAACTAAATTCTGTTTTTCTCCCTCAGTCACCTCTGAAACCACAAAGAGGAAATTGAGTAAACTCTCAACTCAAAAGACATATATAATTGATTCCTCTGATTTATGACTAAATACATATATCAGTTCCCTAAAAAAATGAAAAAAAAAAAATTCACCTTTGTTAAAGAGTCCACCACTCTGGCACACAGAAGCGCTCCTGGCAGGTCAAAGTAGTTATCATAAAAGTAATATTTTCCTAAAAAAAGAACAAAATTTTAAACTGGGAACAAACGAATGCCTCACTTATGTGTCATACACAGAAACCTGGCGGAAGAGACATGAGATCTTAGTTTATAGTTTAGTTCCTTACAGGAGCCTCCATTTCAATTCAAAATGGCTCCGTGATAGGCTATCATTGTCTTTTAAAGAAGGTTTTAAGCTATGAGGATGCTATAAGAAAGTAAAAATACAATATCCATAAATCAAGTATTCTATTAAAAAATATTTATGTTACACTTTAAAAATGTAAAAACTAAAAACAGGCTATGCCTCCAAATATGAAACGGATTAAGAAAAAGCCACAATTTACACCATCGTTACTGAATTTCATCGTTACTGAATTAGGGTGATACTTCACCCTAACACTGAAGTATCATGAAGTGCTCTGCACGATAGTGCTTTTCCTTATCTGTGCTGCTTGGCCCCCCTAGAGTAACCTATGCGATTTCTATGTAATTTCAGTACAACGTGAGAACCACCAGGGAGTTGAGAGGAACAAAAACATGTGACATGTGGACCCAGTGTGCTTATCTTAGAAAAACTAAGGAGCATGCGACAGGCACGCCCCAGGATCTCGGGGACCAGAGGGATTTGATTTATCCCTTTGGCCTTAGGGTGGACTTAAATTTGAGCCCTTCCTTGGCACAGATGTCACTTTTGATCCCTAGGCAGATACTTTTGATGACCCATGTCACATGCTCTTGGCCCACGTCTGATGCCAGCCACAGCTGAGCTGAATAGCATCTTCCTCCTCAAGCACTCCTGTGTCATTCACTTTCTGGAAGCCTCTGGAGCACGTGGCCCATGTAGCCAGCCTCATCCAACAGGGTGAGAAGTCAGCGAGTGGGTGCTGCAGCTTCCCGTCCCCTGGATTCACAACTCTGGGAGGCATTCTCTGAGCTTCTCCTTGGAAGTCCCAGTGGAATCCAGAGTCCCCTTATTCTCCCCTTCCATGTCTCACCCTCTCCACTGTCTCACCCCTGCATCCTGGGATCAGGAGCAGCCATTCTGCTCGGGGGAACCCAACCTCACAGGGAACTTGGTACAAAGGAGCATAAAACAGAACCAACAGATGGAGCCAGGTTTTAGTTTAATGTAAGAAGGTACTTTTCAAATGGTTATAACTCCTCTTGGGCACAGTATTCTCATCACCGGATTTTGAGTCTCCCCTTCTCCCATTTGTAAGATATGAATGAGGTTATGGACGACAGCTGTCTTGTTCCTTAGTGTCCACTAAGCATCCATCATCAGCATATGATAGGCACTCAAAAACTGTTTGCTGAATGAATGAATGAGTTCTCCTACAACAGAACTGATTATTTTGGAATGCTGGAGTGTAAGTTGGGATAAAATCCTTTGCCTATCCCTTTAAATGTCACTAGTGCCCTCACTTCTTACTGTCAAATTATTACAAATGTATAAAAATAAAATCAAAGTTCTGTTAATTCACAAAACAGCTGAGCTGGTTTGTGTGTCCTTTCCCTCAGTTAAAAATATTTTGGTTGGCATAGTCTCCCAGTTTCTTTACTCTTTCAGAGATGAAATTGTTGGGGGAACATCTCGGACTACTTTTCATTTCTAAGAAAGGTTAGGAATGGCTTTGCCAGGAATCTGGAGGAAAAGGGAGATGATACCCCATGTATATTTCTGCCCATGCTCTGCTCTGCTGTGAGGCCACCAAATATTGCAGGGTTCCTCAGACCCCAGACAGTGGGCACAGCTTCTCAAGGTTCACGAACCTACATTTTATCTTATCTCTTGCCTTTGACAGCAGCGTGACTCGCCTAAACCTGATGGGTAGCTGTCCTGAGCACTGTGGGGACAGGAGGGGTCTTATTGCCAGTTGCATACCCTTGCTTTTTCTCTCCCTGTGTGGTCATTAATAGACAAACTCAGTTTAAGAGTTGAAATATTGATTATGAGTCTTGGTTGAGGTCTAATCAAATAACTCGTTGTTTAATAAGGGCTCATTGACTCCTGCCCTCAAGGCAAGGGGCTGAGGTCACTCAACTGTCAAACATGGGTGGACCTCTATGTGGACACAATGAGGACTGTTCAGCCTTGACCTATTCACTGGGCCAGGTTGCTCTCAATGCCTCTCCCAACAGCAAACTCTTGAGACTGAACTACATGAAGGCATCAACCCTCCACCTGCTTTTAGAGCAGACAGCTCATTGGGAATGAAGTGATTGGTGAGCTCAGCTCAATAAAACGAGCCTCTGAAGCAAGACCAAGTCCCAAAATCATTGAGCTTTGCACACAGAAAAACTGTTCCCCAAGGATCCACTGCCAACACTATTCCCTTTGCAAACTACACACTTTTAGTGGTAATCATGAACACATTGGGGTAAAAGAACAATTTATGTTAGCATAAGTCCCACTTCTCCTGCAGATGGGTGATATTACCTCCATTTACAGATGAGGAAAGTGATGCTAAGCGTAGCTTAGTAATTGATCTTTATCCAGCAAGTAACAGAGCCGATATGATCCAGGACCGGCTCCAAGCCCCTTATGATTTCCACTAGAACAAGCTGTTTCTGCATAATCCACTGGTTTGGGGAGAAAAGATCAAAAGGACTTGCTCTCTGGAAATCGGTTGGTAAGGAAAAACCATACTTATGCCAGGTCAACAATCTGAAAAGGGATTGTGGAAAACTGTCATTAAAATGTCTACACCCATCAGTGCTTTAATTGCCCTAAAGGCGCTGGTAGGGAATGTGCCTGACAACTCTCTGCTTAACTCCGAGAATGAATATGCTCAATGTAGAAGGAAACAACATAGAAAAACATCAATAGGAGTTCCTGAAACTAAAGGCTTTATTTAGCCATATTATTCAAAATTTTAAGCCTGCGTATCCTTAGAGCATCTGTACTTCTACGAATTTACCTTGGATATATTTACAGAAGCACAAAACATACATGTGTGACCATGTCACTGCAGGCTTGTTTGTAATGCCAAACACCAGACACAATGTAAATGTCCACCATAGGGGGCTGATGAAAGAAATCACAATACAGGCACTGGATGGCAGAGCGTGCCAGCATTAAGAAGACCGAGCGAGGGCTGTCCGTGTGTGTGGCAATGTGACAGCATCTCTAAGATGTAAATTACAAAGAGCAAAGTACAGAAAATACATGATCCCTTCTGTATACTTTTAAAAAATAAGCCTTGGGAAAAGGGAATTTTGGTGGACAGGGGCTGGATATAATTACTCTTCATTTTATTCCTTTCTGTAATATTTAAATTTCCTAGCTATATGCTTACATTATCTTTTTTTAATGTAAACAAGGTTTAATTGGGTTGTGAAGTCATGGGCATTTTCCTTCTTTTATACATCTCTACATTAAAAAAAATAGGTATTATTTTTTAAAGGCATTAGCTTTCCTTATTATTTTGCAGAAACAACAGGCCTCCGTGATGTCACTGCTTGACCACTGGGCACCTGGAAGGGAAACACTTCCCTAATCAACCCAATTAGGAGTAGATAAGCTCCACCGTCATCTGCAGAGTGCTCCTGGGTAAATTAAGCACCGGAGAGAAGCTGTTGATTTCAGGAGGCAGGGCATCCAGTGGGCAGAGCAGTGAGTAAACAGGTGGGTCAGGTGGGGTGAATGTTCTTTTCGTAGCTGGGAAACACTTTACTACTTCAATACGCCCTGTTTCTGAATGGATGTCACAGTGAAACACTTAGTTATGTGTCTAGCTTTCCTGGGTTATTTATAACCACCTACATCTGGAGAGACAAGAGTTCTCTATCCTCACTTGAGTAAAAGGCTATCCACCCATTTAACTCACTCTAGTTAGTGGTACTTGAGGTGTGTGAAAGCACTCTCTATCTAACCCCAATATGAAGTCTCAGTTTTTCCTATCAACTTATTTTATCAAGAGCACTCATACTTCCTGACATTTTCATCTCTCTACAAAAACAAAACAAAACTCTCAAAAATCGCAAATGTAATCTAATGCAAACAGAACAGTGATGAGGACTAGCTCCAATTATTTTCAGGTTACCACATTTTCTAAAGGAGAACAAACAGGTGCATTTCAAAAATGTAATGTGGGAGAAAATGGCAAAAAAAAAAAATTGGAACAAATGAAAAACTAACAATTGACTTTTAATAAAGTCTGTTTGTAGTAATGTTTTAATCATCCCCTATTACTTTATGAACATGTAAATCTATAAATAATTTTTGAAAAATCTTCTCATGTTTACCCAGGGTGAAGCTCTTTAAAGACTGGGAAAAATGTACAAAATCATTTATAATAAAGAAACAGACAAAGGGAGAAGATACTAGAACTGGTAATAAGGAAGAGAAGTCTAGAAAACAGGAGAGGTGGGTAATATGAAATGAATGTAGGGAGAAATGAGGGATAGAGAAACAAAAGCAAGGACTGAGCACGTAACAAACTGAAAATACAGATGACTAAAGAATGCATTATTCCTAAGTACTACCTTTTGACTCCAGAACAAGTGCAAGAAAAAGGAGTGTCAACAAAAGCTTAAATAAAACAGAACCAACTACCAAAGAGAAATCAGACACATGTGGAGAAAATACATCCTGTTTCTATAAAACCACAGCTGCTCCCTTGTGCATCCTGTCCAACAGGAGGCAAGAAGGTCCTTATTCATGTTCTCATAGGTTCAGGGTCCAAAACCAAAGGGGAGGGAATGGCAGTGCTGCTCCACGGAGTCCTACCTGATCGGCACGACATTCCAAAGTCCGACATGAAGTGCTTCCACTCCTTCCTGCCAAACTCCTCGGCCACCTCCTCGGGCGCCATCATCCTTGTCCCGTGGCTGGCCCTGGTTTGGGGAGATGAGGCACACTGTTCATCAATGGCTCCCTTAAACGCCCCATCCTCCAGCCTTGCTAGTTGATCCCCCTAAAATTAATAAAGTTTTCCTTGTTTCTGTTTTCAGTTGGATGACTTCCCCACTCAGGATTCTAGGAGGCATTTCCCTTGACAGCTCTAGTTCTTCTTCCATTTCATCCATTAACTAGCAAGTGACCAGGAGCAGCTCATTCAGAGGTCCACACCATGGCCCTTGCCCTGGACCTATAATGTAGAAACTATAAATGGTAGTTTCTCTGGAAGAAATATGACACTACCCTTTCTTAAGACGTTGTCATAGAACTATGAAGATAAAATTAACCTAACTGGAGCAATTAAAAAATGACTGTGGGGGAGAAGCTAAAAAAAAAAAAAGACTGTGGATTGGGTCTGGCAGCAGGAGAGAAAGAGCGGCCAATAGGAGCGTGAGCAAGGGCCGTGAGACACCGAGACCCAGGGGTGGGCCAGCTGTGAGCACAGGGGGCTGTGAAGATCGGCGGGCAACCTGCCCACTCAGGGACAACACAGCTAAAAGCCACAATGGAAGACAGCGAGCCGAATGTGACAAAACTCGGAACAGCAAGACAAGAAAGTAGCTGTTTCCTATGCTCGCAGTATTGCTTTTCCATTAGTTGGTCCTGGTTATGGACTCTTGGCCTATGGAGAAATAGCTAATATTTTATGCAGTTTATTATGAGAAATTATAATGCTAGAGAATATCATTATTATTCTCTTGGTGTTATACTGCGGTAGCAAAGCAAAAGGAAGGGAAAAAGAAACGAAATGAAAAGGGCAAATGTAGGGGGAAAAAAATCACAAATGAACTCCTTTTTATAAAGAGGCTAACATTTTAGACAGTGATATATAAAGATGGAGGAATCCTGAGTGGAAGATATGATCAGACAAGGAACCTACTATATTCGATGAAAGCAGGCATCAAGGAGATGAGTTAGTAAATTCAGGAGAAACTGCAAGTTAGCCAGAACTTGAATGGAGAGGGTGAGACCTTGCAGGGAGGGGTGTTGGGAGCAGGGGAGACAGACAGACATAACAATGAAAGGAAGAAACAAAACTGTGGAATGCTTTCTGTGCTTTTACCCATGATTTAAGGAAGCCAAGTACACTGCAACAATATGACAGTGTTAAATCCATGGTCAAAGCTGCATTATATATGTATTTATACTTATATACATGTACTCTATCTCTTGGTGCCCCAAGGAAAACAGGCAAATGAATAACAAAGTAATCAGAAGTGGAGCCACACCTACAGCTTTAGCTCGCTGCACTTCAGGGGGAGGTTGGGGGAAGGCATGAGTTTGTCCTGTGCAAAAAGAATGATGTATCAAAAGGGAGAGTATGCACAAGGGGTAAGCTGCACCCAGCATCCTCTTTTTGGACTCTGATTGTGAGTATAAATACCGTGTTTTCCCGAAAATAAGACCTGGCCGGAGAATAAGCCGTAGCATGATTCCTCCAGGATATGGAGGGCACGCACCCCTCACATGAGGGTTTTATGACCTGTTTCAGGGAGAAGGGTGCCTTTTCCACAAACTCCTTCAGCTTAAAATAGTCAGTATGCCAAGGTGCCATATTTTGACACCTAGAATCATGCAAGGGCTTATTTTCTGGCTAGGTCTTATTTTGGGGGAAACAGGATAGTAAACCGCACAGCTGCATGACCATGTTGACTGCCCTGTACTGTCAGTACTGGGAGAAGACAGAGGCTCGCTCCATGCTGCCCTCTGTCAGACTCAGAGCAGTGGCAGCCCCTGCTTCTCAACTGCTTGCTCTACTCTTACCAAGGCTCACAGTGTTGGACCCACCCTGAGAGGAGGGAAGGGAAGGGAGTCAGCACTGAGTGCAGGAGAGGGAAAAAGGCTGATGAGGGTTTGGGCAGTCTACAGAAACTTTCAGGAGGAGCTGGGATACACCATGAGTCCTAGGTAATGGGGGCAAATTTGGATAAATGCAGGAAGAGAGGTGTGCACAGGCCATTAACACCTACCCAATTCCAATGTTATTCTAGGCACCTACATACCCACCTAACACAATATAATTCCCAGATAGACTGCAACAGGTGGTCAGAGACATGAAGCAAATTATTAATATTCTACTGTGTTTTTTTGCAAATACTTCTGATGAGCTGTTTAAAGAAACTAGATGTTTAAGTCTAATGCTTACGATTTGTATTGAAATGGCTCACATGATTCATACAAAGACATGCAGACACACAGAAATCTGTCATCGGATTGACTGAAATAATAACATTATTTAACCATACCTTAACAATCAAATGCTATATAGTAATAAAGTGTCCTGGAAAGAGTCAACTTTTTCACAACTAAATTTTATTACCTGAGGACGGTGCCATTATCTGCAAGTTTAATGAAGTTCCCTTCTTCCAGATCCAATGCCAAACCCTTGCAACTAAAATAGAAATGTCTGATTACCAATCATTTCATATATTTACCTAACCCAAGAATTAATAATCTCTATTTTCAAAAAGTCACAATGCGAAAAAGGGATTCTCCCACCCAGGTGAATGGTATGTTAATCAAACTATTAAGACTATCCAAGGATACTAAAATTATATATCATCCACAGAGCAAGTATATAAGGAAAACTGTTCAGAGGCAAACGAAGGATAGCATGTTCACTTTCTAAAATCCTTAAGCTTTTAAAAAGAGGAATACAAAACTTAAAGAGAACAAAAAAAATGAACATCGTTGAATGTCTCTGTTACAATGAGCAAATGTTTTCTATTAAATAAAACACACACCCTACATGCACACAATTTATATTCTTCAAGTTAAGATCTTAGCCAGTGTTTCCCTACTCTTTAGATTTTGTCTCAATTTACATCAGATTATAAGACTAGCCCTCTGGGGCAAGGCATTTATTGAAAACCACTAAAAGAAAGTCAAATATGTACTAAGTTTTAGGTTCTTCAGTGTAAAAAACTTGTGGGATTTGGGGGGAAAAATGGGTACAGATTTATTATTATAGATAATAAAAGCAAGAAGGTATAATGGCCACCAAATACCAAGAGAATTAACCAAAAATGACAGGGTAGTTTAGAAGCATTATTTACTTTGGTCCATAGTAAAATTTCCGGAGTCAGCAGTTTCACGTAGGAAAATGGTTCTGTTTCTTCCTTTTCCAAAAGGGATAAATCAAAAAGGGCTAACCAAACATCGAGGAATGTATAATAGATGAACATCATTGCTCTAGAATTATTTCTACATGAAATTTTTATGTGTTTTAGGACTACTATTAATTTGCACATTTAAAGGATTTTTGTTTGGTTTTATTGTTTGAATGAGGAAGAAAGGTAAAGAGAGCCTTGGGAAGTTGAAAAGCCTAACCCAGAATCCCAGCTAGGAGTCACAGACGAAGGAATGTCTATCCAAATGACAGAAAACCAAGTGTCCTAATTCAGTCACTTATTCAAAAGATGATTTCTCCTCTTCTACAGTTCTGTATTTGAAGGGCAACAAACTAAAACTAGTTAAAAGATACAAATTTTAGAGACAGTCTTAACCTCTGAAACTCTTCATAACAATGCAACCAATGCAAAAATATCCAAATTAGTCACATATGCTTGTAGCTTATCATATTTAACTAACTATGTCTAAACTTAAAGTAGAAAGGACTTGAATTCATTAAACATAAAACTTTTGGTATAGAAGGCATCTTGTCCTGTGACTCAATTTCACATTTCACTTTCTACCTCCATAGAAAAGGAAGCATTAAGATTTTACCAGCAACAGTTAAAAATCAGATGGAATGGGCAGATCTGAAAAGCAAGAACCTACCAGAAATCCCAATGTTCTGGAGTCACGTTGAGCAATTCCTTGTCATATCCTTTCTCCTTGACCAGGAACTGGGCGAAGCTATTATAAATGAGCTACAGATACGGGGGGAAAAAAGAAAAAAATTCAATAGAAATTTTGCTATTCATTCTTAAGTCTTCACAGGCCTGAAGACCTAATGAAATTACTCATGGGGCAGGTGAGGAGGACAGAGGTGAAATTGTAAAGCTCTTCAGTTTAATCCCCCGTCACAAGCAATTTAACCATTTCTGCAAGCCCCAGGAGGCTGTAGTGTCTTTTTTATTACTCCAAAATTATACCACCAGTATATGATTACAATTATACAACTAAAGACAGTTATTCATCTTACTTCCGAATTCTCATGGGTTGGGGATCATGAAGACTTGATAAAGCTTTGTAAATGTATTTAACACATCACCAAAACGACAAACATATTGACCATTGTATCATCACATCTATCCTCGGTTCATCCTTGCTAGACAGGCCCCACCTCAGCTGATACAAAGTTAATTCATGTATCGGAACCCACAAAATGGAGGCTGCCCCAGTGACCCAACCCATGTCAAAAATCTAAAGCTAAGTCAGCCTGCATTGATGGGAAACGCCTGTCAAGGAAACCGAACACACACCAGTGTCCTCCAACTCAGCTTTAGCTGGCTTACCTTACCCTAGAAAATAGGACCTGCTAGTCTTATAAGGAAATCCCCGACCCCCTAGCCAATCATGTTCCATTTCCGTGTTGCCTCTTTTAATGCTCTGTAAAACTTATTTTTGCCCAAAATCCTTCTGGGGAAGTACTCCACTGCTGGTGAGGCACTGTACTCAATTCATGGATTGATTTCCCTTGAATAAAGGACATCAAACTTGTTTGTTAATTGTTTCAGTTTTGTCATTTGACACAGGGAAGTCTCAAAGAGAAACACACATGGACACCAGGCAGGTGATCTAAAGGAGGAATGATGAAGCCTCCATCAAACACAGGAAATAACTACTTTTCCACCATAAGAAAAACTGAGGAAAAAGTGCTCTGCTGATTGTTGACAGATCTTCTGATTTCTCAACAAAATCCCAGCTTTCTGAGTAAAATATCTGTTGTTTTTTTAAAGAGCTGGCTCAATTTTTAAAGAATTGTGCATACCGAACAAAAGCAAGCTAAAGGTGGATGAAGGTCTACATCAGCCCCATCCCATTCTCCTTCAGAAGCGTGGTTTAGGCTCCCATCATGTACACTTGAAGCTGAGGCAGAGTAGTAATCTGGGGTCGGACTTAGCAGTGTCCATAAGGACACACACGGCAACCTGACCCTTCTTCTATAGATGTTAACCCACGACAGGTTTAGGTAGCATGGGATGGCACAAGGGAAGCAGGTGTAGGCACAGCAAAAGGGGTGGGAGAAGGCCTCTTTGAGGTGCTGATGTTTACATTGACACCTGCAAGGAGTAGAACTCAGCTGGGTGAATTCAGAGGGGAGGGGACAACCCAGGTCCACGGGGGTACATGGCCGAAGTTGGGAGCTGGGTTATGAGTGTGGAGAAAGCAAAGGTTCCTTGTGAAACACAGCTGTTCTGTCATAAAGCTTATTACAATCACTATACATGTACTCTCATGAAATACAATGTGACCTTGGTCCAGGCCATTTGTAAATGCACCCACATTGTATCAACTCTGTGTATCAACAGTTCTCAGCCCTGTGGTGATTCAGAATCACAGGTGATGGTTCTTAAAACCACCCAGAAATTCCAAGCCTACAGGATAGGGTGGGGCCCAGGTGGAGCCCCTAGAGCAGCAGGTTCTCAACCTGTGGGTCGCGACCCCTTTGGGGGTCGAATGACCCTTTCACAGGGGTTGCCTAAGACCATCTGAAAACAAAAAGATATTTACATTACGATTCATAACACTAGCAAAATTACAGTTATAGAGTAGCAACGAAAATAATTTTATGGTTGGGGGTCACCACAACATGAACTGTATTAAGGGGTCACGGCATTAGGAAGGTTGAGAACCGCTGCCCTATAGGATTCCTGCAGCCCAGAGAGAACTGAGAACCACTGATTTGTTATATGGATTTTTAGTCACTCATTAAAAAAAAAAACCAATAAAAAATGTACTGAGTCACTCTGAGATACAACGTACAAGGGACAATAAAAAATACACACACGACCCTGCCTGCAAGAAACCAGTAAACAGAGGTAAAGGGAATTAACATGTAAAGAGCTTGGAGATTTGCCTGGCATACAAGTAAATTCAATTTAAGTGCTGCTATTATTATCAGTCAATGTTCTGGGTTTAAAAAAAGGCCCTCACCTGTAGCATTTCGCCATTTCCATGGTACAAACACTCCCACCTTGGCCAGTTTCAAGCTACCAATGGTCACTGCACACTATTAGACTTGCTCTGGTCAAGTCTGGTTAAGTACCTTATTCAGTTTTGGACAATCGGAATTTCTCACCCCTTGGCAATACTAAGATATGGGCCTGTGATCCCAATGGGGTCAGATTCCTTCCTGAAAGGAGCCCTTTCTAGTAGGGCTGCCAACCGGAGCGTCCAGAGCTGTGTTCCTTACCTCTTGGAGACATTTCGGTAACAGGAGAGAATGGGGTCAATGTGTAAGGAGGAGAGTACAGCGGTGCTGAGAAAAGCAGGCCATCTGTGCCTTAGAAACCCCTGGTCTAGCCCCACAGCCTCAGTGCTTGGAGCTCTTCCTAATATTGTGTTGAGTTACCCCAGAAGCCTCATAGCACAGGACCTCCCTGACCAGCCAGCCTCCTTCCCCTCCTAGGCTTAGCTGCCACTTACCACCTCAGTCTCACCTGACTAATAATAATGCACACTCCACACTGGTTGCAAACTGGTGCCCTATGGGCCACGTGCAGACCACAAAGCATGTCTGGTTCCCACCTAAAGTTGCCAGGCAAAATATGAAATACCTAAATGTGATTTTCAGGCAAACAAATAATTTTTTTATTTTAAGTATATCCAATGCAATATTTGGAATATATGGATACTACAGATGTTTTCGTTATTTGAAATTCAAATTTAACTGGGTATCCTGTATGTTTCTTTGCTCTCTGGCAACCCTATGATCCTGCTGTTTGAAAATAAGCTAACATTTAAAAATTGAAAGACTTCTCATATAAGACACAGATTTCTAACTTGTCTTAGCATTCAGTCTGGCAAGACTGAGCCCCCACTCCTCGTCATGGCAAATGTTGGCAGGAATTGGGCATGGCTGCACCTTCAGGACGGGCACAGTCTCCTGGCTGCCACAGGCCCTGCTCTCCCACTCACACATTTAAGTTAATTGCTTGGCTCCACACACTTCTGAGTCTGCAAACCCAGGAGGGCACAGGTGTCATCACTTCTAGGATGCCTTTCCTAAGCCCCCAGGTGAGGTGACATGCCAGCTGCACATCTGCACAACACTCCGCACTTGTTAAATGACTGTGCGGCTGAAGTGAGAGGTACTCCCAGCATTCCAGGATTCAGCTGCCACTGACTTCTCCAGCGTCTCCTGCTACTCCCCACCCACTTCCAGGTCCTGGCTACGGCCTATTTCCTCTGCCTGAAGTGCATCTCTCTGCCTCCTCACCTGCCAGCTCGAGCTCCTGTGTTGAGGCCGAGCTCAGGCATCACTCAAGCCAGGCCTCTCCTATGGGCTTTGCAGCACATATAAAACATGGTGGTGGGGGCCAGAAACGCGCCAGCCAGACCACCTTGCTGGGTGACCCTGGGTAAGCTACTTGTCATTTGTGTCCTGTTTTTCCTCATTTCTAAATAGCCAACTATGATAATAACATCTATCTCACAGGGCTATTGTAAGGATCAAACCAGTGCATCAAAACAATGCTTTTAGAAGAGTGGCTGTAAGTGCCATATTCAGTTATTCAATACCTATTATTTATTCAATCATTCCAAAATTATTTATTGAACCCACTATGTGCCAAACACTCATTTTGGCACACAGAATAAATCGCCCGAGATACTGATGTCGAGTCATGGTTCTAGGGCAGCGGTTCTCAACCTTCCTAATGCGGCGACCCCTTAATACAGTTCCTCATGTTGTGGTGACCCCCAACCATAAAATTATTTTCATTGCTACTCTATAACTGTAATTTTGCTAGTGTTATGAATCGTAATGTAAATATCTTTTTGTTTTCCGATGGTCTTAGGCGACCCCCGTGAAAAGGTCATTCGACCCCCAAAGGGGTCGCGACCCACAGGTTGAGAACCGCTGCTCTAGGGGAAGATTCCAACAAGGAGGAAACAGGAAAATTTAATACTGTGTGTGCTATGAGAAATTAAGGATTTTATGGAAAACTGGAGGTGGAGGGGGAAGGGTAAACTTTAGGGGGCTGGGAGAGGCTCTGCAAAGGGAATGCTATCTGAGACCTGACATATGAGAAGTTAGTGTGATGAAGAGAGGAGGGCCCCAGACATAGGTAACTGAGAACTTGCTGCAAGGGCCAGGCTACTGCCCTCACCAGAGAGGACAGGAACTAGCTTTCCAGCAACTTAGCCCCATTACAAGGCCACTTGAAAGCCTGTGCGTCTTCTGTGTATCCCGAACTCTGTTATGGTGCTCAGCACACTGCTGGTACTTAATAAAAGATTTCTAAACCAAAAGTGATGCAAAGCACAGTAGGTTACTGTTTCCAACCTTTAAACATCACTTATATTTGAGGCTTGTCGTCAAGAATCCTTGTGTTCGAGGATTTTATATTCTGACATCTTATGCTCACATATGCACAAGATTGGCTCTAACATGACAGTGGTTTTTAACAGTATTTCCTGCAAATGAAGATGACTAGAGAGGAGATACAAGAAAATGTGAACCAGAAGAGGATATGAAAGGCACGGTGGGAAGGACAATATGATTCAAAAACCTAGAGGAAGTGGCCACAGAATCAAGAAGTAAAAAAAAAAAAAAAGACTTCTTAACTCTCAGTATCACTAAGGAAATACCTGTACAGTGGGAAAGCAGAGAAGTAAAAAATTTTTAAGCGTCTGTACATAGAAAACAGGAGTAATTCAGACATTCTTTTTACCTTTGACCAGGTAACTTGCCCAAGATCAGAGCTGGTAACAGAGAAGCAGTTACCTTAAGTGAGGCAGTTGCCACCGAGACCTCACTTTGACCACTGTGCTCATAACCAGCTTTTTCTACTTGGATGCTTAGATCTTTGACAAAAAAAAAAACAAAAAACAAAAAAAAAAAACCTCTGAATTTTTCATAGTGTTTCCCTGTGAAACCAAAGGAATGAGGACAATTCATTTGAAGGTACAAATGTGGAGTCATACATATTCCACTTTTGTCTCTCTCCCAAAGCTCTGTGAGGACCCCAGCTTTGCAGGCTGTTTTTAGGGTTAGAACTTATTCAAAGTGCGTGGAGCACGTAGTAGGTGCGTAATGTGTCTTTTCTTCTCTTGTTAAAAGACAAAATTAGGGCTAAGTACTTAACTGACTTTTCAGCTAGTGTTCCTTCCAATACACCACACAATCTCTCCCTGACTACGGTGTTGAAAAACTGACAGGTGGTCGCATGGGCGTGCAAAAGTAAAAATGCAGCCAAGGAACATACCAGCCCCTAACCAGGTGGCTGTGCAGGCGCGGTGCTGGCGCCCAGAAAGACTTACAGAGAAGTTCCAAGTCGGGGGATCTGCAACGGACATCCCCAGCTCCCCAGCCCCGCCCTTCCTCTGCCCTAGGAGCCGTCTCCTCAGTCCGATCTAGTGCAATTTGTCCCTTCCCCTTTTCTTCCGCAACCTCTTTCAAACTTGGCTCGTGGATGGGCTCAAAAGGCCGGTGCCCACGGCACGGGACCCAGGGATGCACACATCCGCCCCGCCTCACGGGGGGAGGCCGTGTTCTGCGTAAAGGCACGGCAGCTGCAGGCCCCGGCAGCGCTCGCCGCAGCCTTAGTCGGGAGGAAACTCCAGCCCCAGCCGCCATGGAGGCTGCACGCCGTGCGCCCCGGACAGCCCGCGCCACTCACCGGGGCGCTCTCGGGCAGGTTGTAGCGACACAGAGTGTGGTCCAGGTCGAAGCCGACCACATCACAGGCGGCCAGGGAGAAGTGCTGAGCCATGGCTGCGCTGGGAACACCGGCAAGCGCCTCTGCGCCGGGAAGGGTGCAAGGAGCTCTCGAGCGGGACGATGGGGTACCGGACCCGGGAGGACGCGGCGGGGGCGGGGCTGCGTCCGCCCCTGGGACGCGGCGCCGCAGCCTCTGGCACTGCTCGCACTCGCGAGCACCGCCCCTGGCCACGCTTCTCCCCGCCCCCCGCGCGTCCGGGCTTCCCGGCGCTCCGCCCTCCCTTTTGCAGCCTTGCACTCGGCTGACCCTGGCAAGCTAGCTCCTGCACGCCTTTCCGCCCACCTGGGATTCCCCAAAGCAGGATGTGAGCAGGAGCAAAGCCACTACTGCAGGAATCGGGGGATTAGCTAATCCCCTGTTGGCACGTAGCCTTTGCCACAAAATTAACCGGGATCCCCTTCGTTTTCAAGGCGTCAGGGAAATGAGGAGATTTATAAAGTCAACCTGACCCTTCAATCTTGTGCGCGGAATAAGATAAGATTATGGAGAAAATTGTATCCACTAGTGCCCTTCTGACCACATTAGCCTAGAATTTGGAAGATCTTTTCGCCCACGAGATCTCTGATCATGGGTTGAATAAAAACTTTATATTCCAGAGTAAATTCCTAAGTAGTAAAATGGGGGACCTTTCTAATGCACCCGTGTAGTGCATTAGAAAATAAATGTATTAGAAATTCTGAAAGACCATTTTGCAAATTGACACTGGTTAAGGAAAACAACATTGGTTATTTTGTTATTTGATTATCTTATTTTTTATTGTAATGAGTTTTTCTATAGAAGGATATCAGAAACTTTATAGAACATACTGCAGAGAGAGAACTTCATGCAAACAGAAGGTTTTAAAGTTTATAGAACACAAGATGATTTGAGTGACAGTTTTCTCCGTTCTCTCAAGGATTGAGTATAGCTAATATCATTTTAGATGCACAGGAGAAAAGTTAATTCATTACATACAATGGGTGCTTGGGGCATTTAATTCTTCCAGAGAACACCTGGATATGAAAGGCTTGGACTTTGAGATCCTCAAAATCATTGGAAGGAAAAAATACAAATCTCTCCATTAAAAAGAGAAAATATAAATTTATTATCATTATATTGCTTCTGTTTTAAATTTAAAGTATTACTTTTTCCAATGGGAAAACAATAGTCATGATATAATAAAAATATAATTGATTGAGAATTACATTTAACCTTTATGAATACTAATGCTTATTAGGATAAGACCTATCAGGAGATTAATTTAGTGCAATAAATACTTCAATATGGCTGGACACATTATACCTAGTGGACCCATTTGAATAAATTGATAAATTGTTCCATTATAACTCTTAAAAGCCCAAATATCTTTTGAATAGGAACAGTAAAGAATCCTCAAGAAGATTGAGCTGTTCACTGATAAGAGCCCAAAAACCATGTCTTTAATGTCTGTGAATAAAAAGAGAAAAAGCTGGGTGGTTTCATAGTTTGTACCTATTTCCTTTTCATGAATCTGTTAGCCATTCAAGTTGACCTTAGCATTCCTCTTGGTCCTCTGCAGTAGAGTGCCTGCCAAGGTCAAACTTCCAGGTGGACTACACATTGAAGGCCACAGTCTCCTTGGAGGACATCTTATTTTGTTGTGGAAATAGGCACTTCAGGTATTTCCCTTAGTAATGTAAATGTACAAGTGCATTTATTGCCAGAGGGAAAAGTCAAAAGGATTGTTTTTGTTGACTTGGTTGGCCCTAGGAATGGCCAATAGACCTAGACATGCTCATCAATAGTCATATCTACTTGTTGAATAACAATTGTTCATTTCTTATATTCCTTATGTCCACTCAAAGAGCTGTGTGCTGGAGAATCTTTGACTTTTATACTTTATGGGAGAATTCAGCAAATAATTCAATCCCATCATCCTGAAAGATCTTGCTCCTCCTTAAGATCCGCTCACATTTCCTGGCCAATACCTTAAACCTCAGTTTAACTCCTCTAAGAACATGTAAGATGGCTCGCCTCCCTTCTCCCACTCTCTATATAACCCTGAACTTAAATACAAACATTCACCTTGTTTCGAAAAGGCTTATTTTCAAATAAAGATACGTACTTCTTTTTTCCTGTGCATTAAACTTTTATCACATTTACTGATGAAATACCACAGCTCTTCTATTACCAACCATAAGCTCAATGTTCTATTCAGATACCGATTAATTTCTGTTTCTTTGAGTGATATATTAAATATGGGCACTCATACAATTTAATACCCCAAATCCCCCAAAAAATCCAATTAAAAAATGGACAGAGGACCTGAATAAATATTTCTCCAAAGAGCACATAACAGATGGCCAACAGATATATGAAAAGATGCTCAATACCACTAATCATAAAAGAATGCAAATTAAAACCACAATGAAATATCACCTTATACCTGTCAGGATGGCTATCATCAGTAAATCAACAAATAAGCACTGGTAAGGATGTGGAGAAAAGAGAACTCTTGCACACTGTTGGTGGGATTGCAAATTGTTATAGCCACTGTGGAAAACAGTATGGCGATTCCTCAAAAAATTAAAAATAGAGCTGCAATACACCCAGCAATTCCACTTGTGGGTATTTATCTGAAAAAGACAAAAAACACTAATTCAAAAGGATATATGTACCCCTACGTTCACTGCAGTATTACTTAAAATAGGCAAGATATGGAAGCATCCTAAGTGTCCATTGATAGATGAATGGATAAAAGAGATGCGATATACATATATATGCATAAATACATATATATGTATATAATGGAATATTACTCAACAATAAAAACGAATGAAATCTTGCCATTTGAGACAATACAGATGAACCTAGAGGACATTATGCTAAGTGCAATGAATCAGACAGAGGAAGACAAATACTGTATCAATTCATTGACATGCAGAATCTATTAAAAAAAAAAAGAAAACAAGTGAATAAACAAAACAAAACAGAAACACACTCATAGATATAAAGAACAAGCTGATGGTTGCCAAAGGGGAGGGGAGTGGGAGGTTGGGGGAAAATGTCAGTGTTAAGGACTGAATTGTGTTCTCCCAAAATTCCTGTGTTGAAGCCCTAAGTCCCAAATGTGGCTATTTGGAAACAGGGACTTTAAGGAGGTAAGTATGGTTGAATGAGGTCATAAAAGTGGGGCCTAATTCAATAGGACTGAAGTCCTTATAAGAAGAGGAAGAGACAGCAGAGATACACATCAACAGAGGAAAGGCCATCTGAGAACACAGGGAGAAGGTACAGTCTGCAAGCCAAGAGAGGTTCTACCAGAAACCAACCCTACAGGGCACCTTGATCTTGGACTTCCAGGCTCCAGAACTGTGAGAAAATAATTTTCTGTTTGTTTAAGCCACCCATGTGGTATTCTGTTAAGGTAGTCCAGGCCTAATAGAGTCAGCAAGGAGATTTCACTCTAATCAGTGTTGTTGTGTCAAATATTTGCCATTCAAAAGATCCATAACTGATAAGCTTTGGCTTAAGCTATTTTGTTGGTTCTTATAATTTTGGTACTTTTACTTTTATGTAATAGTAATACCATGTTGTAAAGTTTTAGGTGTTTTTTTTTTAGCATTACTTGTACTGAGTTTTTTCTTATAAGTAGAAAGTTGTGAAATAATTTAGAAATGCTTAGAAATAATAAGTCATGATATTTATTGCTGTTTCTCTACATTTGAATTTCAGTGTTATAACTGATCTGCATTTTAATGCATAAAATGCTATAATTTAGCAACTTTAACTTTAGGTATGCCTTTTACTTAATTTGTTATTTACCTAAATAATAACTTTGTGATCAGCTAGCTTAAGTTTTAGATTCTTAAACAACTCATGAAATGATCTTTTGTGGATTCGTAAAACTGTATGTTAACATCTACATTGTAAATGTTATTTACCAAACTTCTGTTTGGAGAGAGGTAGAATGGCCTGTTTATTTTTCAGTAGTTTAAAATATGTTTTTCTCAATACTCTAAACACTGTAATGTTCAAACTTTTATATAATCTAAGCCAATCTACACATTTTCTCTGGACCAGATAATTTGTTTAAGGGGAAACAATAAAGTTTATTTAGTAATTTGAAAAAAAAAACATGACATAAACAAATGCCTAAAAATCTCTACAGCATTTAAATATTAGCCATTTAGCTAAATAGAATCAAAAGCTGATTTGTAATACTGGACTGTGGCCTTAAGATGGCAGTAGTTCTGCATTAGGAATATTTTCATTTGATAAGTAATGTGAAAATCCTTAAGTTTCTTAATAAAAAAATACACCATTTTCTTCCTTCCATTTCTGCTCTTTCTACAGGAAAGGAAGCCTACTTAGAACTTTTGCTGTGTGTTTTTTTTTGTGTGTGCATGTTTATTTATTTGTGATGGTGGAGAGGGCGGATGTGATGGGACAAAGTCTTTTGATAGGAAATTTCTTATTAAGGTTGTGTCTGAATAAAGAACCAAGTGTTTAAAATATAAAATGAGGTCCTCTTGCAAAAAGAGCTAAAGTATGAAGCAGCAGAATTGTGAATCAAAAAGCTCTCAAATGATGTTGCAATGGATTGAAATTTAGTTAAGACAAATGTTAAATCTGGGGGTTAGGTTCCAACAATCAACGTTAACAGTATATGATGGAGAATCTTGATTTAACATCAATTTGGAAATAAAATGTGGATAAATTCAAGGAAACCTCAGCTAGCCCCAGCTTAAATTCACTATCTCTTTGGTAGTCACTTTACCATACTTCCCTTTGCTTTGGCTGTCCTTTTGGGAATGTGAGGGTTCTCAATTGCGGAAGGGTTAACATGTTGTCAAAGAGTCTGGGAGAGACTTTGGGTCTTTGGTTAGTGGCATTCATACAACTGCTTTTCCTCAGTTCGCCTTCCCTGTCAGCCTTTAGTTGCTCTGGCCATACCAGCAATACTGTCAACAACTATTCCTGCTGTATAAACCCTGAAACCCTTCTAGTTACAGTGTCATCAGAAAAATCTTTAGTTTTGACCCAAATCTTGAGGCCATTTCAGGTTCCATTCTCAGCCCACCTCTGCATCTCTCTTGAGCAGTCCCAGGAAAACTTCATAAGAAA